TATAATAATTTTGCTCGATATTTATATCTAAGGGAAATAATAAAATAAAAACGCATTCATGTCTTTCTTGTTTATTTGATCTATTTTTAAAATTGATGTGGAAATTGATCTATTAATATCTACCAAATCTGCCCTTTTGTGTCTCTCATTTATCACTTTGAGGCTGCACATATCTGCTATGTGCCTGTAACTTATGTAGCTTAAAGCCTGATGGCTCCTGAAATGACTCTTGGAGAAATTTCCAGAGTATCGGAAAGTTCTTTGCTTTTCTCATCCTCTTGACCTAGAAGCATTCTAAAATGGATAGAAAAATAGGTGGGTGACAACAATGTTATCCCTTTCTAAAGAATTCTAAATATGCTTGAGAGTAACTGTGGTTGGCAAAGAGTGGAAGGGCACCCCATAACAGAGATTCCCACACAAGGCATTAAACACTCTGAGTAAGTTTTCTTCTTTTATCCTCTCTCCTTTCCCCACATCTTCCTCCTTGTTTCACTTTCCACCCAAACTTGACTGAAATATTTTCTTCTTCAAATAAATGAAAAGCTTCTCCTTCATAATAAAGTTTCTTTCCATTTTTTAATTATTTCAGATATTTGAATCATTCTTTTAAATGTATTTAAACATGAAATTGAAAGCTGTGTAGCATTAATTATATTTGTTCAACCAAGACCCTCATGCCTGCAAATCTCTGTGTGGGAGGAACTCACTGTTAAAGGGGGATAATGACAAATCGCTGTGGGAAGTCTGAAAATTATCTAAATCTATCAAAATGTCATGACCAAATTAAGGTTTAATTAAAAGCTAAAAATAATTACCTAGTGTTAAATCTCAGAAAATTGTTTTATAAAATAACTCTTTGCAATATTCAGTATTTCAGTCTTTTATTAATTCACATGTTACAAACTTGAATTTCAACTATAATTAATGCTTGTCTTTTTTGAAACTAGAATACTGGCAATATCTGAAATTTCATCCCTGGAAATTTACTCCTGTAATCCAGCTATAATGGAATTCTTTTGACTCAACCGGTTGATAAAGGTCATCAAATTCAAATGTTGTCTGGGTAAAATGATGGCACTTACAGCATAGTAGCCCTCCCAGGCACACTGCTTCTCTCCTCTGCTTCACTCTGTTCTTACTTCAATGACAAAGTAACGAGATGAAGAAACGAAAGAACCATGAGATGACCATCATACTGCAGATCTCAGTGGCAGGGACGAGCCTCGTTATATTTGTATCCTCTCAGCGTGCACTCGCACACACGCAGACACAAACTAAATAAAATGCTAAAAAGAGTCCGAAAGTACTAATAAAAAGCATTCAGTGTAATATTTGTCAATGACATTTTTGAGTCCCTGTTCTACAAAAAGAACTTGCCCAGATAGCAGAGAGACCAAAAGTCTGAAACATAGCCAAAGCCTTTATGGAAAGATAACAGAAAAGTTAATAGGTCCAAGAAAAATAAGAAGTTAAAAGACTGGAAGACCAAACACAGAAAGCTTTTAGGGAAGTAGATCTCTTTGTTCATTTCACCCAGAGGGCATTCCATTTCCTCTGCAGAACAGAGATGATATTTAAAAATTCACTTGATTTGAGCTATTAAAAATGACAGCTTACTGAAATAAGAATTTAAATAGGTTGCCAAAAAGACCTCTTCAACCTCCAGCTTCTCCTCCTCCATTCTAGAGCACTCTGGTCTGTCTTTCCTCCTATTTACCACAAGTGTTTCTTCACCCCAATTACATACAGAGCACCAAGTATAATTTTAAAAATCAATGAGTGAGAGGTCAGGGGGAAAATTGGCTGTCAACGAACAGATTCTGTCTTCTCCTTAAGGAATCACTTTTGCAAGGAAGAACAGAAAAGAGGCCCATTTTAAAATCACAATTTGAAATGAGCAATTATTTTATTTAATTTTGGTTTGAACAAGCTCTGACTTGTTTGTTTGTACTGCATTTTCAAAAGGCTTGGGGGTCAAAGTCCATACATTTTTATTTTAATAACACATCCCTATGACTAAATTCCCTTGCTTCTTAATAAATTTTAGATTCTGGAATTGAGGATTTGGAGCCAACAACTTGAAGGGTTGTGTTGCTAAGAGACCAACTCCTAGGTTGAAAATCAGAAAATGACGCTTCAGTTTGCACATCTGTTACTGATTGTGCAGGGCGTAGGGGAAACCACCAATATGTTCTGCACATCCATTTGTTCAGAAAAATTATCTTTTTATCAACTTCACTTCTACTAAAGGATCAAACATAAAATCCTACTGTAGAGCAGGTAATTAAAGAAATTAATTAGTAAGAAAAGAAAAATTAATTTTTAAAATTCCATGATTATTTTGTGGCATTGTGAGCCCTATTCCAGGAAGCCTTGTTCTGTGTTTTTGTTTACAAGTTTTGTTAAGATGTAATTTACATCCCATCCCATCATTCACCCTATCCCTAGGCCACCACCAATTTCAGTTCTGCCTTTATAAATTTGTCTATTCTGAAAATTTCCTATTAAAGGCATCATACAATGTATGATATCTGTGACTGCCTTCTGTAGCTTAGCATGATGTTTTCAAGGTTCATCCATGTGTAGCTGGTACTTCATTTTTTAATTGTCAAATAATATTCCATTGCATGGAAATATTGTATTTTGTCTACTCATTCATTAGTTGATGGACATCTGGGTTGTTTCCATCTTAGGCTATTATGAATAATGCTGGTATAAACATTTGTTTGCCATTTTTACTTGGACATATGCTTTCATTTCTCTTGGATAAACACCTAGGCCTTGGAATTCCTGGGTAATATGGTAAGTCTATGTTTAACTATTTGAGGAATGACCAGATTGTTTTCCAAGGCAGCTTTATCACCAGCAGGATATGAGGGTTCCAATCTCTCCACATCATCTTCAACTATTTTCTGTTTCTTTAATTTCTACCCACCTTAGTGCATGTGAAGTGACATCTCATGGGAGTTTGGGGTTGCATTTTCCTGTTGGCCAATAATGCTGAACATCTTTTCATATCCTTATCAGCCACTTGTATATCTTTTTTGGAGAAATATCTATTCAGATCATTTCATCCTTTTTTTTAATTTTTTTAATCAAAGAGGTTTATTTACTTGGGACATACATGAAAGAGTAAAGATAGAAATGGTGTTCTAGCTCCTTATTATTTTAGTGCAGGCCCCAGATTAGACTTTCTTTGCTTTAGGATAGATATGGCTGACATTGGAAGAGTGTTGGAAGCTATTCTTTGATTGTGGTAGATTGGTCATATCTTTCCAAAGAAGTAGGATTGGGGTGAAGTCCACTATTCCCCTACCTTCTTATAAAATAGGTACTTCTTTGCAACTTGGACAATCCAGCTTACCTTCTGCCTTCTTTTTATCCGCCAACCTCTTTTTATCCTTTTTTCTTTTTTTCATAGCTTTGTCTCAGTCTTTTCTTTATACACTTAGTTGTGCCAATGTGTGAGACCCATCCAAAACTCTGGCCTCTCGGTTCCTTGATCTGCTCATCTCTGAAAATCTATATCCATGTCTTTTTATTACTGAATTTGAAGTTACTCTGTGATTTTACCAAGTTTCCAAGTCCTGTACGTCCTGGCACAGCTCATTGTACTTGATGGAGGAAAGCATCCACTTGCTCCCAGCAGCCATCTTCTCCTGACCGTGCACAAAGTCCCTCCATTTGTAAACAAGGGTCCTTATTGGCAATTTAAGCTGGGGTTCCAATCTGAGCCAATCTGAGCAAAAATTTACTTCTAGGGATGAATGAATTCACTTTATATTGTCAAAAAATAAAGGCTATGCAGCCGGGCTGGCATGGCTCAGTGGCTGAGCATCGAACTATGAACCAGGAGGTCACGGTTCAATTCCATGTCAGGGCACATGCCTGGGTTGCGGGCTCAATTCCCAGTGTGGGGAGTGCAGGAGGCAGCCAATCAATGGTTCTCTCTCATTATTGATTTTTTTCTCTCTCTTTCCCTCTCCCTTCCTCTCTGAAATCAATAAAAAAAATATTTTTAAAAAAGCTATGCAGCTTTACGTTTCCTTTATTTGCAGTCGATGCTAGAGATTTTGGAGACAATGACTTCACTGCCCCAATGTCTTCAGATCCATTCAACTGAAGTGCATTTTTGTTTACTTCAAATGGAATCTGGTTTGTTTTAGATTAAAATGCCTCTTTCTCCCTGTATTTTAATTTCAAAGTCATCTCAATTCCTTTAAGAAACAGACATGACAAATCTTTGGGAAAAAATGTTGGAAGATATGAAAAAGGTTCTTATAAATCTGTACCTAAAAGGGAAAACATCACTTTTTTCCATTATGTCATAAAAAGTGAGTATAGAGAATGAAGTCTAGAGCTACCTGTGGTGTATTAAATCATAGAGGTCCAATTATCTTCACCACCACCTCCAGCAAGAAAGATAAAGTCTTTCTGAGTGTGAGAAGGTAGAGTGGAAGGAGCTTTTGAATGAGTGTGAGATACAGTAAATTTATTATTTATACTGTCCTGGCTGCATCTCTCCCCATCACCTGCCAGAGCCGTGTCATGTGGAGGTATCACACAGTACCTATTCTCTCCCTACCCCACAGGTAAGGCCTAGGTACGACTTCAGATTAGATACAGATTTTTTTTTTCCAGATCGACACTCCTCTCTCCTCTCAACAGTCATGTATTTAACACTCGTTCACTTCCCACTTTCCCCTCCAAGTCATTTTTTATAAAGTATCAGTTTATCAGGTTATTCTTCAACTCTCCCACTCAGAAATATTTGCATTTTTACAGACTATTCTTAAATAGGAAAAGAGCTTTCATAACTAAAGGAAGGCACTTCTCATAGTAGACTAGCATTCTTCTAGGAAATACTAATGCACATAAAAACTTTCCTGAACAAGAATAATGTGCACAAAAACTTGCCTGAATAAAATATGGTAACTCGGGAGAACCACTGGAGAAATAACCAGATTTCCATTTCAAAAGGTATTTATACTCACTTGGTTTCACTTTTGGACTTGGATCTTGAAGGGACAAGACCGTGATGCATCACCATGAAGGAAGAGAGAAGTGAAAAGCGGAACACTGTGGAAAATGAGCACAAATAAATGAATCAGAAGAAAGAAGGGACAGACCCCCACTCAGGTGCACCTCTCCACTACCCCACAGCTTGTCACTATTTCCCTTGATCCGGCTGATTCCTGAGAAGGGGCATTGGAAAGGAATTTAAGAATCTTGATGATGTTCAGTAAATTTTTTAAGAGTGCCAAAAGCCCTGAGTACACCACCATTTTTCTCTGCATTTTGTCCACACTGACGTCCAGAGAAAGAACATTTCCTTTCACTGGGTGAGCATTCTTTTATCAGGTAATTTCCTGGCCCCTAAAAGGGACCTTCCCATTTCACACGATCGCTTGTTTCAGATCACAACACACTGACTGGCAGAACTAGCATCTGAGATAAAATAACCCAGAAGTTCACTTCTCAGATGGAAACAGGTTTCAGTTCTGATGTTCACTCTTCTCTCTCTGAGTCCCTCCCTTTCTCCATTGACCAGCGTCCTTTCTGGCAAAGCAAGAAGACCAGAACCAGTGAAGCTTTATCAACCCTGATTGTACTATGAGAGTCCTTTATAGGCTGAAACATTTTACTAGTGGAGTTAAACTAGGGAGGCCCTGAGTGTACTCGTGTCAATATATAATGGAGATATAGTGGAATTCAGAGAACAAATTTCTGTTCTAAGTTATTTTTCTATTATTTTGTTATTTAGTGATGGCAACTCACTTGATAAAACAAATCCAACAGTGGAAAGATTATATTGGTATATATTTTTAAATCTAACACAGTCCATCACTAATTTCAAATACAGTCCTTTTAAATTAAGGGGGGGGATCAAATTAGCATTTATTCCATGTCAGACCCTGTGCTAGGTGGTTTCACTTTTTTTTCCGTATCCTCATTTTACTGACGAGGAAATGGGGGGCTCTGGAATCCATGATTCCCCTAATGCCTTCAACATAGCAACGTGTTCCACCTTGACCCACCAGGTAAATAGAGCAACTAAAATAGAGATTTCAGTAAGAAAGGACCTGACATGCAGTTATTCAACACCCAGTCTGCACCTGGTCCCCACAAGGCGAATACACCCAATATCTCACTGTCCCCGTTTTACAAAGACACTAAACCGTTGAAAGGTTTGTTAGTCTGTTCAAAGCTGCATGTCTGTTCATGGAAGAGCAAAGAGCCCAAACTGGGTATATCTGACTCCCATGATCATTCTCACTTCAGTATACCATGAGACGACTTGAGCTAAAGCTTAACCTTTGGAGCTAAGTTATTAGTAACTGGAAATACCATTCAAAAAGACAAAGTACATAGGCACAATTAAAGACAGGGGCAGATAACCAGAAGTTCACTTCTACAATAAATTGAGAAACATGTGATGTCCTCCTCCACTAATGAGTGCTCAGCGGCACTGTGCATGTAGCCCGGGAGTTTCTGAGAAAATGATTTAGAAAATGTTTCATTGCCTTTCTTTTTACAGAGTAGATCTATCCACTGCTAAGTTGTTAATAAACTCTGAAGCCCGCAGGCACACCTACTCTCCTTTCTGAAGTCTCCAGTTTTCCTCTCCAATTTGATGCTACAATTGATTTCACTAACAGCTGACATAAACTTGTGAGCGAAAATCACCAGTACCAACATATCACAAATAGTCCCTTTATGTGAAATAAACACTACTTATAGAGTTAGGCTATTATCAATGTGTATTTGCTATGAATCAAATATTTCTGCTTTTCTCCTTCCATTTAATTTGTAAGTATAGCATTGGGCTCTTCTACTGGCCAGGGCGAAGGATTTTCATAAAACTCGTCAGTACACACGACTCTTACTAAAGTAACTCTTTTCCTCTCAAGGGCTATGAACAATTGGTCACCTCAACATTCAGAACCTTTTATCAAAACTCTAGCTTCCTTGACTGTGGAGGATTTAGTCAGCCAGCCTGAAAGCGTCTTTCTCTACAGCTATAAATATTTTACAGGGTAAAAATAATTGCACGTCAGAACAAACATTCTGGAAACTTCCATTGGTCTCATCTTGTTGAAAAAAAGTACTCGAACTGAGTTTTAAAAGCCAACACCTTGTTTAAAAACACAAACTTTTCCCTTTTTGATATGTCTTTTTCTTTACCTTTTGTCTGTTAACATTTTGTTCACACACACAAAAAAAAACAGCATGCAATGTTCAACTTTTCTGCTGGGCATGTTAATAAATACTTCATGGATTTCCTAAATTCTCTGTTTTATTTTTCAGACTTCATAAAAACTACTCTCATCCAGCTATTTGACAAACATTTTCCAATGTTTCTGCAAAATACCAGGACTTGCATCTTCAAGGGAAAATCTCTACCTTTGAATTCCTCTGTAACCAAAATGCAGGATTTTGCTGTCATCGCATATTTTGAATGAGAATTTATTCCCTGGACCTAGCAAAAGCCTATGGATATATCAGTACCATTGATAGGGCAGGAGGCATCTGGGGCCCCTCTAGTTTAATTATTCTCCCTCCCAAACCATACACTAGTATACCTCCTTTCATTTCAGGGACTATTGAATCGGACCCTATCTTATTGATTTTTTTGTTCAGTAGCTGAAAGCAAAAAAGTGAATAAAAAATGCAAACTACTTTCAGCAATACTAAGAGAGAGATAACATATGAAGGCATGAAACTACTTCAGAATGTCAGAGGTGTAGATTCTTTGTAGAAACTGTACAGAGCAGGAGGGTGGAGAATGTGCAACAAGGGAGCAGATCTTTGGAAACTGCAGCACAAATCTACTGCCTGTTATTCATGAATTAAACCCAAAATGACAATTCTAGATTTGTGCATAAAATAAGAGCTTCAGGACCAGGAGAAGGACAGGGTAAAGATTAAACAGAAGGCACAGAGAGAAAAGATATCTGAAGGGTCTTCTACTACTTTTTTTGTGAGGATGTACACTGCATGGTGAACAAGGCCAGGTAAGGAATTACGTTGAGATAGTAGCCCAGCTTCCGGATGGTAAGTGATCGCTTCCTTTCATTCTGCCTATAGCTCTTAATAAATGGCAAGTTTTACTTTCAATGTGGAGAATATGGTTATATTTGTTCCCCATCACTGTATACCAGCAACTTCCCACAACCTCATTTCCTTCTTGGCCACCCAAGGCATTTAGGTTTGCTCCTCCTGCCTTAGTTAAGTCATTGTACTATCTCCAGAAAGGAATGCCGTTTTGTGTGTGTGTGTGTGTGTGTGTGTGTGTGTGTGTGTGTGTGGTTTTTTTAAAATGTGTAACTCTTTTATCTCATTTATATGTGAAATCTAATGAACAAAATAAACTGGCAAACAAAATAGATCCAGAGACATGGAAGCATGGAACAGATTGACAAATCTCAGATAAGAATGGGGGCGAGGGGAAAGGGCAGGAAGAGATTAACCAAAGAACTTGTATGCATATATGCATAACCTCTGGACACAGACAATAGTGTGAGAAGGCCTGGGGGCAGGCGTGAAGCAGGGTGGAGGGGACCAATGGGGGAAATAGCCCATTAGTATTCCAATAAACCCATTAATGTCATACATGTTCTGTTCCACAAAAGAGACCAAATAAAAGAAGCTTAATGATTACCAAAGGAATCTGAAGTTCTAGGGACCACTTATTATTTTCTATATTTCTGGCCCAAAAAAATAATCACTGTATTTTCAGTGGGTTCCCCAGTTTAAAAAAAAAAGCTAATAAAAGGCAGAAAATTAACACAGCCTTACTAAGTGTTCCTTAAAACAGATGAAAGCCTCCACCAGGAGATCTTGTGCTTTAAATAAAACAGACAGTTCCAGGATTTTTACGTATCTTCATATGGCCTTTGCATACCTCAGTTTCATTAACTATAAAATAGATATCAAAATAGACTATCAGTAGGATATATTTAAACCCAGGTCATAGAAACCTGACTGAACCTGGCATCAATAATGGCATTTTTCTTCACGTAAGTGCAGGGAAGCCTAGAAAATGGTGCCCTTGGGGAAATACCATGCTCTGATTTATGTTAGCTTCAGTTTTGAGGCACAGAGAATGAAACTGGTCTGGAAATTAGAATCATCTCCTTCTTAATCTTATTAACTTTGAGAGGGGTATGTAAACCCCATCATTGCTCTGTTAAGAAAGAGCGAGGTTGCAGCACTGCTGGTTTATGTCCATTAGAAATGTGGTTATGCCCATTACAACTAAAAAGTTAATAACACTCATGGAGATTTTAGAAAACATGGATAAATTTAGTCTGACTTTTCCTTGAAAATAGCTCAATTAACATAGCAAATAATATCCTTTCAAAAACATAATTTTACATGTAAATCCTTTAAATGTCAACGTCCCACACAATGACAATTACTTATTGTTCCACTGCCTCTTCTTCCAGCATTAATTTATTTTTTCATTAATTTGTTCTGGGTGAAAACATTGTACAGATTACAACCTATATTTATTCAATTGAAAAGTAGAATTTATAATTTTTGTTTTTCCCCAAAGTTGTTTCTCCTTGTTGAGCTTAACTGAAAATCAAATAAGGTAAAATAAAGTTACCTAAATGACACAGGGACAAACTACTATGAAAGGAAATCTTCAGGTTACCTGCAGTTATGCATATAATTTCTGATTAGGATGGAGTATTAATGAAATCAATTAGGATCCAATATGTTTATTCTTTATTTGTTTTCCTTGAAAAACTGTCAGAATATATTATCCAAGGATGTTTGGAAAACTGCATTTGCAACCTATGAAAAACACATATTAAGCAGCCAAAGAACAAACTCTGACTTGCTTATCCTGACTTCTATGACATAGATCAGACCTCCCTAAAAACTGTGACCTTCCATATGTGAGTGGCCTAGCAGTAAAGTGATAGGAGTAGAAAGGTCTTGGTGGGGTGGGCAGCCTACTATTTTAGAGTTCCCAGGGTAGGGTCCAATTCAGATCTGCTTTGGCAAGTAAAGTTTTGTAAATGAATTTCTGTGACTAAAGTTTTATAGCTGCTTCCATTTGTTTCCAT